GCACATCAGGGTGCATCCACACATTATTAAATGTCAAAGGGCTTTAAAGCAGTGCAATCATTTTGAAATTTTTATCATTTACTTATTATGCTTCATTAAGTACTTATACAAAATTTTATTAAAATAAAACCATTTAGACTGGGTGTTCGGATTTATATGTCACTTAGTATACTTTTGGTAATGAAACTATCTCAATCTCTTGATCTTTTACAACTTTTCTTATTCATATCTCTAGTGCTTCATCCATATTCAATGAGCTAATCCTTTGAATTAAAGTTTGAATTCTTAATTAATTATAATGAAAATAAGTTCAATTTCATCCTTGATAAATACTTATTAGGCTGACAGAGTAGTTCAACTAAGCAAACCACCCTTTTCTTTGCTAAAGTAATCTTTTTATCTTGAGAGTTAATAAATGGGTAAAAACTCACTAGAAATAATGTATGACTGTCAGACTAGTTTCTAGATCAATAACGTGTTTAGAAAAGAAGAAGCAATCCTTACAAGGAATCTCAGAATCAATTAGATTTCCTAGTGTCTTTTTTTTTCTAAAAAGTGTCAGTCACCGGTCGCTTTTGCTTCTGGAACTTTCCTTGGTAAGTGCATTAGGCTAACTTTGTTCAATTAAATCTTTCAAACAAAAAGGGGTAATCCTCGTAAAAGTTGTTTTAGTCAGTTGGGTTCCCTAATGCCATTTTCTTGGAATTTGGGAGGCAAACGCAACGCAAAAAGGAAATCTAAATAAGCAAAAACATCGATAGATTGGATTCGGTCCGCATTGACCGTAGCTGCGCTGCTGTGCTTAACTTCCCCGGCAAATACTCCGCATTTCTTTTCAAATTTGTTTTCAGGAGCCGTGCAAAACCAGACCTTGCATTTAAATTATCCTTTTAACTTCAGCATTTCCCTCTGTAATTGTTTAAGGCCAATTCAATTTATAAAGTGATTTTGCGTTCTCTCCGGGCAGCACAATTCAAGAGTCACTTGTTTTGCGTATTAAAGTACAGATGGCTGAAATGGCGTAGTTTTCTAGGAAATGAGACTTGAAGCGACTGAGCATAACAGCTATGAACAGGGTGCTAGGCACTTAGTTACTGTTTCTACTACTGCACAAAATACGCCTTGTTGTAAAATGTTGTCTAAGGGCTGTCTCCGTATACCAGGGTGTTACAAATTCGAATATCATCATTGGGATATCAGGAACTGTGGGACGCTTAAATGGGGCCGAAGTTGCGTATTCAGGTAATCAACTAAATGCTGCGTGGGAAGCTTAAAAATTGAAACTACTCCCGAAGAGAGACGGAAAGAATCCAAAACCGTTTTAATCTTTTCCTGACTTTACTTGTGATTGGGATCTCAAAACAACTTACAGATTGACATTGCCTTTTTTTCTCCTCCACCAGATGGCATAACTAGAATTTCCATGTGACGTTTCGTCTCTTGTCCTCCAGCATCAACTTTATTTTGTCTGATGGACTCATATTTGCACAGATCAATAGAGTTCTAAACACTGATTCCAAAAATGTATAATACGATGGATGTGTTCTAAGTTTTGCATATGGGAATAAAACAACACGGTAGGTAGTTTTAAACGACTTTATTGTTTTTCGAAGTATACACATCTTCATGCGCTCGAACCAATTTTCGAAGCACTTGTTCCACTCGTTTGCTGGCAGATCCAAAACGGCATTTTTGAATGCGTCAACTGCTTCTTCTGGTGACTGGAACCTTTGACCACGTCTGTTTTTAATTTTCGGAAAAGTAATGAAATCGTTAGGACTTAGATCGGGACTATATGGAGGATGGTCCAATAATTCCACGTTTTCTTCGTTAAATACTGCTTTGTTTTTTGGGCTGTGCGCGAGCTTGCATTGTCTTTGTGGAGGATGAGTCTTCTTTCGGGGTTGATTTTTCGAAACTCGATGATGACTTCTGGCAAACAAATGGTGGTATACCAATCCATAGTAACAGTTCCTTGTTCATTAAGAGGAATTGTTGGAATATGACCCGCTTTTGACACAAATATCGAGACTAAAATGACGATTACTTTTCATTGAAAATATGCTTCAGCCGTATTTTCTTTTCAGCATTTAAAATTTCATCATACGACACATTGTAATTGCAGCCACATAAAAGTCTATAATTGCCAAATCGTTTTTCTAAATTATCAGTGATGAATTTTCCAGGCAATACATACTCAATGTCAAATTGATTAAATGAATATTCAATTATATTAAGTAGAGTCAGCGTGCTTTGATATTTCCTAACCATATCAGGAATTTTTTTTAAAATTGTACTCTATAATCATATTTATTGGTAATAGGCTTACAAAATTCGTTTCGCTTCAATTCTCCTTTTATTGCACTTGTATTACTAACAATATCCCACCAATTCCTGATTATTTCCAAAAAGTGTGCAGCATCATTAAACTTTAATTCTTTCATAGCAGCTATTGTTGAGTGATCGAATAAATTATCTACAAAATTTACATTTTGCCTTTCAAATGAATTTGGATGCAATGTTTTATAATTTGATTTATATGCTTTCTTAACTACAGCTTCTTTTTCCAATGGATGTACAGCACGAATGTTTTCAAATTTAGCATACTGAATAATATCATTATTGTCAAAATTAGGATATACAAAAGTTTTGTCTAGGTTTTTTAAATTAATCCAATTATTTCTGGTACTCTTGAAAATATGCACAACATCATAAGTTAAATATATGTTCTTATCAGGATTATGTGGATTTGGAATAGAATAATTTTCTGATGAATCCTTTGCTAATTTCATGAACATTGCTCTATTAATTCGGTGATCATCAGTAACAACACAAATAACTTCAAATCTACATTTTTGAACTAAATTTATCACATGTTCAACCAAAGTTGTCATTTCATCACCTGTTAGATTTGAAACTGGTAGTAATTTGATAATTTCCGTAATGTTTCCAAATGCTGAAGATAGCATGAAGGCTAAAACAGTTTTAGCCATGTCATTTTTATTTGAGGCATACCCAACAATGTTTTGTGAGCGATAGTCCAGCCTAGATGTTATATAAATTTCATCGATCATCAAAATTACAATTTTTTCTCTTGGAGCTAATTTAATTGCTATATTCGAAAGGTAGTGTTCATTATTCCTATCATTTTTTGGAGATATATCCATACTTGAGGAGATATGTTGTAAGTATCGCTTACTTGGCAAGATAAAAAATCTTTTAATTAAATTATATGTTGATGATGAGTGGTTATAAAACGTAAAAGCCCATTTATTATTGAAAGTGATGCATATCTGTTTTTCCTGTTTTGAATTTGTCTCAGCTGATCAGCAATAATCTCTAGATTTTTTGTATATGGAAAACATAACTGACTACTACTATGTTTCTATATGCAAAACTTAAAAGACATCCCTCGTACGTCATACATTGAAATTGACAAACCATGGATAATTTAGTAAAAAAATTCCTAGGTATGTCTTGAAATTATCAGATTGTCATTCGTTTCGCCTACTCGATTTATCTGAAAGTCACTCTTATTTTTTGGGATTTCAAAATAATTGCATTGTGTCATGTTACGTATTCTCGTCTACAAGACGACGTAGTCATATTTTCAGTTCTACACTCCTTCCTTGGACTTCCATCATCGACTTTTGTATATTTTCAGTCCTAAGTTCAGTGATGTATTTCCTTATTTGGCCATGAATTTGTCGTTGGAAGAAAATTATAAGGAAATAAGCAGGTATGGAAACCTGCACATAAAATGAAAAATTTATTAATGGTAATGACAACAATAATCATAAATAGGCAGAATAGACAAAACTTTACTCTTCTCTGTACATAGCTCGTTGGTCGATTTACCTTTCTTTTCCAAATAAAAGAGTTATTATCAAGTACAAAATGGATCTGTAGCGTACAAGAAACTACAGCAAAATACAGGTCCGTCTACCTGATGTTGACGGATCCCTCAGAATTACTCATGTGTCACTTGTGGATATGGGGAGCTCTGAAAAATGATTAGATAATCAGCTGTTATTCTATCGTGATAGATACTCGTGAAAAATACCGTACGTATCTTTCTAGCAGAAAACGATCTGAAAGAAAGTGTCGTCGAAACTGCAAAAAGACCAGCTTTGTCGAACTGTGAGGCTGACAAAAGTCATCACGTTTTGTGTAGACTGCAAGAATAAGCCAACAATGTATCTTATTCGTTTTAATGGTATACATTTCACTTTGAATAGAACGTGCATTAAATTATACCGATAATACGGTTTTCTTTTACAAGTAAGTGAAGAAAAACCTTGCCTCTGTTATTTGAATTACTTATTTTATCTATGTGCGGCTACAGCGTTTTGTTATAAACTGTCCGTTTAACAAAGTTTTCTATTATTAGTTTTAGTTTTAAGTCGTTCTAACAAATTACAGCTCATTTTATTGGAGGTCGTTTACTAGATAGAGGATGGGACATGAGCTGTATTTTTTTTGCAAGTTTGTATTATTTTGACAGTTGGTAATACTTCCATGTTCAACATATTGACAGATATAGGGTGCATTTCACCACGATTGTCAAATCAACAGTCCATTATTCTCCACCTATAGGGTAACAGTCCGTCAAATACAGTGGCGTAGCGTGCATTGGCGGGGCCCCGTATAAAAAATTGTTTGGGGGCCCTTATATTCTTTGGGGGTAAAGATTTTTCACAAAAGAAAAAAAATATTGTGAAAAGAAATATTTATTTATCATAACATAATTTAACCATTTTACAAATAAAAATCAAATTTTAAACATTCATTCTCCTTGCCTTTTTTTCGGCAAACTGATTTATTAAATCATTTATGGCTGATGATGATTTTAGTTTTTCTAAAGTTTCTACCTCTATGGACAATAGTGAGAGGTCTGACAGCCGTTCTTGTCCCATCGAAGTTCTTAAGTAATTTTTTATCAGTTTTAATTTTGAAAAACTTCTTTCAGCAGTTGCGGTTGTAACTGGAAGGGTCAAGAATTAAAAGCATGCTGTGATTACCTCGGGAAAACTAGATGCAAGACTATTGAATTTTACTAGCAATAATTCAATGAGTTCTTTAATGGAATAAATTTTTTGAATTTCAGATTTTAAACATGTTTTTAGAGCCTTTAATTGGTCACAAAGATTAACTGAGATGTCTTTACTGTATTTAACGGACAGTTTTCCGGAAGCGATTAATATCTCTTCGTTTGAAGAAGATAGGAGTTTCTCCGGTTGTAATATTTCGAACATACTACTCAGATCGCAAAGGCTCTGAAATCTTTCTTTAGTTTGAGAAATTAATATATCTAAACAGCAATAGTATACATTGACTTTGAAATAGGATTCCGGGTCGGAAATTCTCTCATCTTGTGATAACTCATCAAAAAAACGCTTCGTTATCTTTCGCCTACTGTTTTTAAAAACAGTTGTTACCCCCCACTCTTTTGCTAAATCTTTGGACTCATTTAGCAAACTATTAAATGAAATCTGATTTCTTAATTGGCACAGTCTATTTAAAAGATTACTTAATAAAATCCTAGATTTCTGTAAGTCATTATTTTCATGCTGTAGAGCTTTAGAAATAGGATTAATAATTTCAAATAGTGAAGAAAAAAATGTAACGAGCACTAAGAAATCATAACTCTCTAAAATATTAATTATATTTTTACATTCTTCACGTTCATCTTTTTTATTTGAAATTAAATTTAGTTGGTACAAAGTTTTCATGATTAGTAAAAAATTTTTCTTTACCGCTAATAAAGCGTCGTTCCTAGAAGACCATCTGGTTGGACATACCTTTTTAAGGGTAATCAAATATTTTTCAGACGGATCGTCACTTAGCATAGCCCAGCGTTTTATACTATTGCCAAAAAAAGTATATACTTTTTCTAAATTATCGAAAAAAGTCGATATTTCACGAACGTGTCTCGCAGCATCGTTTAAAACTAAGTTTAAAGCGTGCGCAGCACAATGAACATAATCGGCATTTGGAGCATGCTCTTTTATTAGGGTTTGTAATCCTCCATAAATACCCGACATAACATTTGCTCCATCGTAACCCTGTCCTCTACATTTAGTCAAATCAATTCCATATTCTTTAGTCAAATTTAAAAAGGCAGTTTTCAGACCTGCAGCACTGCAATCGGTTACTGCTATAAATCCTAAAAAGGACTCACAGATTTTTATTTCTTTAGGCACATTATCATCATTTTCTGTAACCGAGATATATCGAAAAACTACAGAAAGTTGGTCAATTTTTGACAAGTCTTGTGTTGTATCCAGAATTATTGTCAGAAATGGAGCTTTTTTAATTTCTGAGATAATATTGTTCCTAACGGTGGTACCAAGCAAACTAATAATTTCGTTTTGAATCGTAGGGCTTAAATAATTTATTTCGCCTTTCGGTTTTAGAAGAAGTTCTTTTAAAGTTGCATCATAGTTAGATAGCAAACGTAAAATTGCCATAAAATTTCCAGAATCAGAATCATGCCCTCTCAAAGATAGATTACAAGATGCTAAAGTAATTATAACATTAATTATACGATGCAGTACATCTCTCCAGAATGTAATTTTACTATTGATTTCACTTTGCAATAGAGTATCGATGGTATTTCCTTGCAACCAATTATTATAAGAGAGTGAGGCATTCATATGCTGCTGTGACTTTTCATGGTCAAGTATAGTTTGCGTAAAATTGCTTCTAACCGAAACACCGTTAACCCAAGCAGAGGAGTACGATTTGTTTTGACGATCTGCTAATAACCAACAGAAGTGACAGTACGGTTTGTTTAAAACGTTAGAATAACATAACCATGGTCTTACAAGTTTTATGCCTGCCTGATTGAAATATGAATAATAATAGGCCGAAAAAGGTCGGTTACTTTCTGAATCTTTTGGAAATGGTCCTTGTGGTTTAAATGGACCCAATTTAAAAATTATTTTTCGTTCGCATTCAGATAAATTGTCACCAAAATTTCCTCTATCTGATGAAATTATATTACAATCTTCAAATATATCAGAATCGTTGACTTGGTGTTCTTCAATTTCTGGATGGACATCCGATGAAGTATGTGCTTGGCTTTCTTCTATTTCCGAATGGATATTTGACGAAGAACGTGCTTCAGAAGAATCTAAAAATAAACGAGTATTTGTTAAAAAATAAATACGAATGCTTTGATACTAAACTAAAAAGAGTTATATATAAATAAATAACTTTACTAAGGGTCACAGTTAGAGAGTGTTCAGTTCAGACGCACACAGACTCTACGCGGATTGTGCTCGTATTAGTAGATACAAAATCACCTGCAGCCCGTCCGTGCGTTACATTACACCTGCGTGCTATTTGAACGCAGCGCGTAGTGTAGTGGCCATACAAAACGAGAACAACCCGAAAGCGAGTCTGCACATCTGAAGTTCTCAACACGCAATTTACGATACGATACAGACTGATAGACAAACAACAAAACAAATTGATCTTATAGATAAGTTAGAGTTTTGGTTTTTTTTTGTTTCGAGGCACGGAACCCTAAAAACAAAATTCACCCTTCGCTACAGGTAAATAATAAACCAACCACGCGTATCTAACCACGCAGATCCACATTAGCGTCGTGTAAAATAGTACTTGTGTAAATTAGTAAGTACTTCGGTTTTTCGAAGAAGTAATTTTACAAATTGTCATTTATTTTTAAACCTTATCCGTTTTAAGATTTTTGCCAAACCAATTTCATGTAAAAGTTTAATTAGTAAGGAGTCTCCAATATCTTTTTTAGATTTTTGGACCAGTAGTTGTGAAAATCGAAGGGGGGGAGACCACTTTTTGTGACGGACAGATTGACAGGCCGAAATTAAAAGATTTCCTTGTTTATCACTACGGACCCCGAATAAATGGGTTGGGTAGTACTTACCTTTCCAATCTAAATCACTCACAGTATCTTGTCTATGAAAAAATGAAGAAATTTTGGGCACTTTTTTTATAACCTCTTCCCTTTTCCGTTTACTTTTTCTTTTCTCAGCACCGCTGGGATAATCTCTTTTCCTTTCACTCATTTCTTTTACAAATCGCTACTAATATTGTTAAACCACCAGAACAATATTGTTTGTACTGAATTACAATGTAATGCACAATTACATAAAACGCGTAAATAAACACTGCACTGCACTCCGTGGTTTAACATCCAATATAGAGTATGTACGTACACGTTCGCGATATCGATTTTATTATTGAGGGATTCCCCGCTGAGTTGCAGATGAAGTAAGTAAAACGGGGAAGTCCCACAGCCCGCCATAACGATGTACAGTGTTGCCAACTTTTGAACGCACGCTTAAGGCGGTATAAAAAGTAATTGCTTTATAGAATTTTGTCATTTGTAAAATAAAATAAATTAGGAAGTTTTTATTTCTTTTTCCTTACACACTTTGGGGGCCCCCGTAGTCCGGGGGCCCCGTATAATTGATACGGCAGATACGGCGGTAGCTACGCCCCTGGTCAAATACAACGAATGAGCTTCAAGTTCCAATCAACAAATTTTAGCAACCAAATGCTATGAAATGTTGAAACTAAAATACTGTCAAAGTACGAGATGACAGCTTGTCATTGAAACATCACCAGCTTATTGAATATTAAGAAATTACATATAATTTAGTCAAAATTTAAACAAGTATTCGATTTTTTAATAAAATTTATGTTTTTATTTAATATTGTCGATTGTTTATTATTTTATTCAATTGATATGCGATTTTACTGATTCAACATCACCTAACGTGTGTTTTTTTCTATAAATCTCTTGCAAATATCCATTAAGCACCTACTTGATGACAGGCTCTACCAAAAATCCCATAGATATTGCTCGTTTCCAAACATTCATTCATTTACTTGCCGTTCATCAGTACCATTATAGCACCGTCTATCGATATTTCCACAAAACCATTTACAATTTTTGGTATCCATACATCCACAAAGTCAAATACTTTTTGGTTGTTCAGGAACTGAACATCCACACCATATTCACAGCAATTAAGAAATACTCGAATATATGTCGTAAAGCTACCGGAAAACTTAAAACCTGCAAAAAAAAAATAGAATTTGAAATAACTTTCTTTTTTCACTGAGTACACATTCTAGGTTATATCTATATAAGACATTATTTGAATAACAGCTGACTATTACATTTCAAAACTCCCCAACTTGTGACACATGCATGGGATCCGTCAATCCTTGTTCCCAGTGGACTAAGCTCCGCCAACTGTTAAAATATACCTATACTTTATAAGACGATTCGTGGAATTTTTTCAAAATCGTTTCACAACACTTGAAAAAATACAAATGAAAATTTAAAATTATATTCATGGCGGCGCAAAATATCTCCGTTGGTTCCTCGGGTTATACATCTTGACAGTAGGAATGTTCGATACGATCCTATATTTAGTAGTATCGATACTTTTGCTTCCCATACCCGATATTTTGGATCGATATTTTTATATACGTCACATGGGTGTATCGGTACATTTCACGAGTATCGTCATCTTTCGATCCGCATTGTGTCAGGAAGAGTGACTAATTTCAGATTAGTTTTCTTCTTTGTTTCCTTCCGCTGGATATCGATAATTTTATTCCAAGTATCGATACTTCCTAAGACGATAAGAATCGATACTTTTCGTAGATCTAAACATCCCTAACCTTGACAGCTTGTCGTTCTTGTCAACTAGGCTGCAGGGTGCGGTGTTGCCGTTATTTTCTTACATTTTGCTAAAATCTTATGAGAAATAAAAGCTTCAAATGAAATATTGACGAACTTGAACGAATATGCATAGAATTTAGAATATAAATTCATTTTGTAAATTTCAGATTGTCTATGCATGGACTTGAACCGGATTTTTCGGTATTTTTACCGAAAAGAGGATATTTACCGATAACATCACTCTCCAGGGTTTTTCAAAATACTTTAAATACTTCTATACTTGCCGAAAAAGAGCTGAAACCAGAAATAAAGCTAAAAGTTAATTTTGTGTAGTCTTATGCGCCATATCAATCATGCATATCCATACCGAGTCAGGCAGACGCGCACATGAGAGGCGTAGATTTGGGTTGTCTATGATTACGAACGCAAATCCTCATCCCTTACTCCGCTTGCACTGAATTGATTTTTGTGCATACAAAAGGTACGGACTGGTAGATTACCGTCATTACCTCATCACCGGACAAGTAATAAAGGAACGGAAACCTGTCTGTTTACAAAATAAATATTTAATTAAAATGAGTGGTGAGTTCATGAGTTCAAGGGTAAAACAGAAAAATATTCACAATCCTATAAGCAAGAATCGGAAAAGGAGTTTGCAGAATGGTTGCAAAGTGTTTTGAAAGAGCGACCAGTATGCACATTGTAGAAGTTGTAATATTGAACTATGCCCTCAAAAACATGTTGTGTGCGCGCCCAATGCAATAACGCTTTTCATGACTCAAAAGGTCCTTGATCTATCACTTATCTTGGGACGGCATTAACCATATACCGAATTCGACACTGCAGATGTGCAGATCACTTTAAAAGCAATTGATATCCCAGACGTGTTATAATAATAGGAATAATATGAAAATATGACAATGTTTAGAGATATGATCTCATAAATAGGTATTTTTGATCCTGACTTATAATATTTAGATGATGAATAATTGGTGGATGAGGAGACTTTTACAAATATCGATGTTTTAGGACCCAGAAATGCAGAATGTGCTGTTTGTTTACTTTTGGTGTGAATTTCTAGATCATAAATTGGCAAAAATTGCCTTTGATGTAACAAAAGATGATGAACCAGTTGGAATACGTTTTATATCATTCTTTTCCAAAATAAAAATCTGTACACTTCTACAGGTACGTATTATGTACAACACCCTGTACGTAATATACAGACAAAACTAGATTGCCATGCATGAACACTCGTCAAAAACAGTGAAAACATCCTACCAAATATAATAGCTAGAAAATCGACCTATTATTTCTCTCATTTTCATTGGTCTATTTAAATAACTAACCGTCTTTCCTGAAATGATAAAAATTTGAAATTCTGTGAAAGTTATCCTAATTCTAAAGCACAAAGACATAATATTACATCGATAATGTACCCTTATTTATAAGGCAACCGTCGTTTTTCCCGACTTTATTCCACACTTCAATATAAATCACTGATATTCAGAGAGCTTTGACAGCTTCCGTCTAATTGCATTTCGATAAGGTCTTTTCCTGTTTGTCCAAGTGACCGTTAAATATTAATGTTATCCAAATTGGCTCTTATTGTGTCAAACTTCCGCTGTGAGCAATGGATCGTTTTGATCTTGAACAAATGTGGGAAATATTGAAAAACTATTTTCATAGTGAGTGCTGTGTTGCAGGAACTTTGCGAAAATTGTGAAGACTGGGAATGAAGCTTCGTCCACTGGTATACGAAAATTCGTGAAGAAGGTTCGTGAAACTGGCGTGCTTGTGGATAACAGAAGGAATGAGCGTGTTCGACCCGTACGAACAGTCGAAAATATTGCCGCTGTTGCCCAGAGTGTGCGTGTAAACGCATTCCTTACAAGGTGCAACTTGTGCAAGTGTTGAAAAAAAATGACCATATATCGTTTCTTTGAGTCTAAATCAATCGGAAGCGGACGTCAATTTTCATAGCGAGCAAACGCACACTAGGAACTAGCAGACATCTTGTCGTTTTTATTGCGTTTTTTAGGTTTTTTACGTAACAGCCCTGCCGCAACGAACATATCAACCTCTTCTTTGCCCGCTTTTTTCATTTATTTCGCATCTGGTATCGAATTTAAGAGTAATGGAATGAGGCATCCCATTGGAAGTAAGTCGATTAGGAGATCGCAATGGCAAACGATCTAGAACAAAAAGAGAATGAATCGGTAGATTTGAATGAATTTCCTGGAACAGCGAGGCCTTGGAAAGAAGATTTAGGACTGCAGGACATCGAGCAAAAAGTATACAATCCGCTACCTGTGTATCGGGCCTGACAAGAAGGTGGACAAGTAAATTAACTTGGGATTTCTTACGCTGTAGGGCATTTCGAAATACCCACGCAAAAAAGCTTATAAATCACGTCCTTAAGTAACCGCAAGTTAAACCATTTTTAATTCCCTTTACTGTAGTGTAACCGCGACAATTCTCTAAAATGAGATATACTAAGTGATATATAAATCCGAACACCCAGTTTAAATGATTTTATTTTAATAAAATTTTGTATAAGTACTTAATGAAGCATAATAAGTAAATAATAAAAATTTCAAAATGATTGCACTACTTTAAAGCCTTTAATAATGTGTGGATGCACCCTGATGTGCTACGCATTCTCCAACGCGCCTAGGCATGCTTCTGATCAGGTGGTCAATGTCCTCCTGTGGTATCTCATTCCAGGCAACCACCAACTCCTCTCGAAGTGTTTCTAGAGTCTGAGGAGGACGTTGCAAATTGAGCAATCTCCTACCCATCATATCCCACACGTGCTCAATTGGGGATAAGTCGGGAGATCTTGGTGGCCATGGTAACAATGTGACATCATTATGTTGAAAGAAGTCTGTTGTGACTCTTGCAACATGTGGTGGGGCATTATCTTGTTGGAAAGTTGGATCTGCCAGGGTGTCAACATAGGGTAAAAGATGGGGTTCTAGAACTTCGTGGATATAACGCTGCGCGTTCATGTTACCTCTGATGAAGATTAAAGGTGACCTGGAACCATAAGCTATAGCACCCCAAACCATAACTCCAACAGTGTGATGAACATGTCTTTCAACAAAAAACTGTGGATTCCTCCTTTCACCACGTCGCCTTCTAACCCTGGCACGACCATCGTGCATGCCTAAACAAAATCGAGACTCGTCACTAAAGACAATACTGTTCCATTCCTGATCCCAGAGTGACCGTTGTCTGCACCACTCAAGGCGATTACGTCGGTGTTCTCGAGTTAAAGGGAGGACCTAGTGTGGCCGGTATGAAAACAAGCCAAAACTTCTCATCCGTCGGTAAACACTTCGCATGTCAATAGGTCTTCCGTGTTCTGCAAACCATTCATTTGCAATGGACCTGGCAGTGGAGAAACGGTCCGTTAAGGCCAATAATCTTAGGCGGCGATCTTTACGGT